CAAATGCTTTAGGTCCAGCAAAACCGATAGGTCTATAGAAATAATTCACGTTATAATACAAAAAAATTTTGCACAATTTCCGTATATGCGAAATTACACGGAAAAGAAACAACATCGTGGAAAAGTTTTTAACCCAGTTACGCAGCAGCGAGTATAAAACAGCTAAATGCATCTAATGAGCATAAATAATTAGCATAGATGATATACAAATTATGACTGCCTCCAGTCATCAAAAATTTGGCAAACACAGTATATCGCTGTCAACAATTTCATGATGGTACACAAATTTTTCCCATAAATAATGAATACTGATTAACTTACGAATGACCCCTTCCAGATTAGATTTCACGGCGAATTGCACTGTATCTTGCTCATAACTGTTTAGATATCCATTAAAGCAGGGTATGCTCCATTGTATCTGAGGACAAGAGTGAAAGATGCGTCTTGCATCATGTCGCCTGCAACAGCTAGCTCGTGCTCATTACGAACGATGTAACAGAAGATAGCACTCATTATATGCTACAGCATAAATAGCATAAGCTGTTCGCGCGCCTGAGTATGCCAAATAGCGAATGACATTTAATCTTGAATAACAACTTAGTGGAATTTTCTGCGAGAATACTCTAATGGGCTCGTCTTAGTAGCAACATGTTCGACAAAAGGTTCAAAACATTTCAGAGCGAATATCATCAATTCCAGCGACCTACCTACTTTTCAAGTTTTCTGCTGCTGCTGCGACTTCATCTACCAAAAAATTAGTATTCGTTCGCTGCTACTTACGAGGTAACTTTTTGTATTTGTGGTTGCTGAACCATCATTAAATAATCTAATTTCTTAAAATGTACAAAATGGTTTCGGCAGTGCATATTTTAAGAGTCAGCTTATGACCAGCTCATGTTCTTTCATACAGGTGAAGAACTCTCCAAAAGTCTATCATCAGCATCCATAATCTTCAAAGAGAAAACATCGCATGTGAAAGCGACAATGATATGAGCGTATTCTTCATAATCATCGTAACATCTGCGAACTCTCTTCAGGAATTTTAAGAGTCAAATGTCGAGGAAAGACAAAGGATCAAAAATCACAGATATCGACCATCTCGTTAAATAAAATCTACTAAAGAGGAAGTTGCTTTGATTTGCACAAAGATAAAACGAAAGTCGACTCATACGGATTAGTAACAGGTATCCGCATTAAAGACCAACTGACCTCATCTACCCTTTGATTAGATGTTGATTTATGCGATAAAA